TCCATAAATAAACACAAGAACATAATTTTGCCTTGTACAACTATCTTGTCTATCATTTATTTTTATTTATTTTTTTAAAATTATCTTTTCTTTTTCTTTTTTTTTTAACTGTACCATTTTAAAATTTCAGTTTGTATTTGTTACTGGCATTGAGACTTAGGAAACAGAACCTTAAAACATTCAGTGGTATATTGCCTATTACTAATATATTTTCAGACAATGCAGAAAAAAGAGTGGCTCTGAAAAGATGGCCTTTTGAGTAATCTTTTTTTTTTTTTTTTTTCATTACTGGGGATGGAACTCAGGACTTTGCACTTGCCAGGAAGGTGCTTATGCCACTGAGCTATCTCCCCGGCCTCTCTTTTGAAAAAGAAGTTTATATCTAAGTGTGCTCCATTGTTTTTCCTTGCAATGTGAAAGATCAGACACAGGGCCTTACACATGGCGAGCACGCGCTCCCCACTGCGCTCCACCTCCAGCCCTGGGAACGTGTATTAACCAAGGCTCTGTCTAAGGAAGAGTGCTTCACTGAGACTTATGATATGAGAGGCAATTTGCACAAGGCAATTGTTCACTGTACATTTCTCTCCCTTGTCACCCTGTAACTTGTTTTCACTTTCCTGCCCCCCAAAACCTCAGGCTCTGGTATCTTTCTGCAGCTCAAGAGGCTATATAAGCTTCTCTTACTAGTCCTTCTTCAAATCTCATACATTTGTCAAATTTCTGGCACACTTGCATAATTGAATGTGGGGTTTTCCCTTTAGTTTGTCTGCTGTCAACTTCATCAGTAACCTAACCATGGAACCTACAAGGGTGAAAGGGGGCTATTTTCCTTTTCTGTATGCTGAAATGTAAAAATGAAATAGATGCTTTTACTCATCTCACATCCCATAATTGTGTCTAAAGAGTTAATTTTCATATCCTCTTAGTTTTTCAAACATATAATTATTAGATCAAACTAAATTTGTCCTGCAGTGACCTCTATACACATTTTCTCACTTGGAGAACTGCAACAGGATGTATGGTGCAAACTGACTGAAAGTGTACTTAAAACTGGGAGAATATGTCAAACAACTGGAGATCAGCCAAATGCAGATGGCCAACTCTTTAAATTGTGCTACAATATGACAAATATGTGAAAGCAAACAATCCAGGTTTCTCTGAACCTCACTTGATTTTTGTACTTAATATTCTCAGACCCATGCAGAATGGAGTGAAGCATTAATATTATTCCATAGTTATTATGGATTGATCAGGCCCAGCAGCTCCCAAATGAGTGGAGGGCAAGGGCTTAAATGAAGGAGTCAAGCAGTATGATTTTAGGGCTCCTGGAGGTTTAATACCTCTACCAGAATTCAAGATTCTTTGGGGACTAAGACAAAGAACTTCTCCTGTTGGCCCGTATTTAGCTCAAGAGGCTCCATGAGCTACATAGAGGGCAACTATTCCAGGCTGCAGAAGACATCAACAGCAGCAAGAGAGGAGGGCAGAGTAAGCCTCCTGCCCTCCTTATATTGTATGCAGGCTACTCACTCTAGGGTGAGTGGAATGTTTATAATGTTCAGGTAGATAAATCCATTTACTTTGCAAATCAAGCTTCTGTTTGGGAATTGCTAATTCAATTCAGCACTAGCCCATGAACCAATTCCAGCACTGGACCAGGAAGCAATCACAAACTCTACGTTCAGCCTCCTCTAAAAAGTCCCTCCTCCCTATGACTGCATGACGCTTTGGAGGACATCCAAACACACACCATAACAGAATGAAATTAGGTCTACTTGGCAATCTCTTGAAGTTCAATGACATTGAGCCTAATATGTGGGAAGAAAATACCCACTGTCTTAGTTTTTACTCATTGCTGGGACAGAATATCTGACACCCAAAATTAAGGAAGGAAAGGTTTATTTAGGTCATAGTTTGTGGAGGTTTTAGTTTATATTTTCCTGGCTCCAAGGCAGAGCAGCAGTCTGTGGTGGCAGAAAACAATGAAGAGCAGAGGAGGAGCAGCAGCTGTGGCATCCATCAAGCCTCTCTCTTCCTCTATGCTGACTGCCAAGATTGGCACTCCATGGAGAAGATCGGAGCTCCTCAGAAGTGGCGCTGCTGGGACAATCAAGCTCCTCTGAAGTGGTTCAGCTGCAACATGGCGTGATGAAACCCTGGATGCCCAGTCATTACATGGTGACATTCCACAGAAGCAAAGAGAAATCACCCTGAAAGGTTTTAGTGATGGTGACTTTGAAGTTATGGTCGCAACCAGTGTGCTGCACGTGGGTTAGATATCCCTGGGTTTGATTTGGTTGGACAAAGCTGTCCACCAAAGGATGTAGAGTCCTACATTCATTATTCTGGGCAGACAGGCTGAGCTGGAAGGACAGGGGTTTGCATCTGTTTCTATCAGCACAAGGAAGAATATCCATTAGCACAAGTGGAGCAGAAAGCTGGAATTAAATTTAAATGAATAGGAGTCCTTTCTCCAACAGAAATAATAAAAGCTTCTAGCAAAGATGCTATCAGGCCTTTGGACTCTGTGCCTCCCACTGCCACTGGCCTCTTCAAACAGTCAGCTGAGAAACTGATAGAGGAGAAGTGAGCTATGGAGGCCCTGGCTGCAGCACTGGCCCACATTGCAGGAGCTACATCAGTAGACCAGTGCTCTTTGATCAACGCAGAGGCAGGTTTTGTAACCACGATCTTAAGGCGCTCAATTGAAATGCCTAGCATGAGTTATGCTTGGAAAGACCTTAAGGAGCAACTGGGTGAGGATATTGTTTCCGAAGTGAAGGGAATGGTCTTTCTCAAAGGGGAGCTAGGTGTTTTGAACTCTAACAGGTTTTGCTGGTATATGCTCTAGGTTTGGAGGAAGAAATACATTCAGTACAGTTTACCCACAGTGTGCATTTTGATGTTTTTATCTCATGGTGATTCGTGCTTCAGTGTATCCACACATAGTATATAGAGAAGTACATTTTATTTTATTTTATTTTATTTATTATTTATTATTTATTATTATTTTTTTATTTTTTTGTGGAACCAGGCATTGAATTCAGGTCCTTGTGCTTGCCAGGGAAGCACTTATTCCACTGAGCCATCTCCCTAGCCCAGAGTAGTACATTTTAATGCAAAGCCAGTGACTTGAAGGGATTCCAAATGCTTAAGAGGACTCCATCTCTTTCTTTGGAAGTAAGGAGGCTGGATAGAGTTTCCATGGTTGTGTTCCATTTCTTCCTATTGGAAGATGATCACTGTTTACCAAGAATGAATTGAAGGAAGTGAGGGTATCAGTCTTCTATTGTTGAAGAGTATGTCAATGCCTTAATGTATTGTGAATCAACCAGGAGGTTAGCTTCTAGTGGGTTGCATGGGTATTTTATAAAGTATATTGTGATGGGGATCTTGGGATGAGCTTTGGAAGAGAGTTAAAACTACACAGTTTATCTCATTTTCATTCCATTACTTTGAGCACCTTGCCGAAAGGGCCCTGAGAGCCAACTCAGCACCTGATCCTGAGGCAATGCCTTTTTCTGTCTGAACTTCTTTGAATCCTGTCTAGGTGTCTCTCCTCTCCTAGTATAGTTCTCTTGACTTTTATTCCTCACCAGTTTTATTGCTTTATTCCTGTCCTTCCTGGTGGGCTGTCAAGCCTCAAGGAATTAGGGGAAAGTGCTGGGTGATAGCCTATCCATGTGGGCCTTGTGGGCTCTAATTTATTAGATTCTGGTTTTGCCTAAATATTGGGTACACTTTAATAACATCGAAAACATTAGAAGTTTTAGATAGGAATAAAGGCTTATAAAGATATGATAACATATCCCTGAACAATCAGGTATAAAGAGTAAAAGAGGGCTGGAGAGATGGCTCAGTGGTCTAAAGCACCTACTTAGAACAAGCTTAGCAAAAGCATCAGGGACCGCGGTTCAATCCCCCAGCAC